ACTTTGAGAACGTGGGAGGAAAGATGCTCGATGCGGTGCTCCTCAACATGAGAATCAACGGCCGTATTGCCGTTTGTGGGATGATATCGCAGTACAACCTTGAAGATCCAGACGAAGGTATTGGAAACTTGTTGTGCCTTGTAACGAAGCGAATACGCATGGAGGGATTCTTGGTTTTCGATTACTACAATCTCTATCCAAAGTTCTTGGAGATGGTGGTCCCGCTCGTTAAACAAGGGAAAATAACGTACGTCGAGGATGTAGCCCAAGGCCTTGAGAATGCACCAAACGCTCTCGTAGGGCTCTTCTCCGGCCGCAATGTCGGGAAGCAAGTTGTGGTTGTGGCTCGCGAGTAGCTTGTTTTTTTTTTTTTTTTTTTTTTTTTTTTTTTTTTTTTATGAAATTGTGATCAAGGACTTCTTTAATTTGGTTTTTAAATTTGTTTGTGTTGCTAAATGACATTTAATTTGTTTTTCTATGAAATTGTCATCAAGGACCTTTGTTTTTCTTTGTTTTTAATTTCATCTTGTATTTTTTGTTTTTTGTTACTATTGGAGATTGTATGAATATTTAATCAAAAAAAATATTCATTGCTTAAGCCGAAATAAATAGTGTCTCGCGGTATTTAAAGAATAGAAAACAATTCCGAACAGGTCACACAAAACTTATAACAGATAATTACAAGCAATAATTACACTTTTGGTCCTTATATTTACTAGCTAAAATGATTATCGTCATCAAACATTGCCGCCATAAATTAGATCCTCAAAAGGGTAAATAACACTTAACCCTCCTATGGTTACAAGCTTTTGCCAATGACCCCTCTGTGCTCGTAAATATCAGCACATAACCACCTTGTGGTTGATGGTGGGTTCGAATCATCCAAATCCACAAAGGGGAATTGAAATTTGAAACCAATAATCATATTTTTTTTTAAAGAGAGCGAGGGAAAAAAAAACCACTAAAACCACTAATCTTAAACCTAGAAAAAGTTTATAGTGATGTTAGTGCAACTATAAAAAAGGCTCTTTGAAAAAACTCTCTCACTACTTTTTTTTAATGTAGGGAGGCCCAAAATATTTTAGTCTATTTGAAAAAAGTCCACACCCATTTTCAGCCATTATGTTTTCCAGCTTTGCCCCCACCCGCCAGATCATCACTAGGTCACGCGCTCAGCAATTTTTTTTTTTCTTCCCGTTTTTCCCCGTCTTTTCTGTATCAATTTCCTTAATCGATTATGAAGCATAGTCGATTAGCCTTAATCAACTACGCTTCACAGTCGATTAAGGAAATTATTTAATTTTTTTAATTTTTTTTTGTTTTTAAATTTTTTTTTCTCTATCAGGTATATTAATTATAATTGACTATGATGTGAAGCATAGTCGATTAAGAATCTGGTACTAAATAACAAATCACAACTGCGAAAAAAATACAAAATCAACTATATATTACAAAAACGAAAAATATACAAATATTATAAATAATTTATACAATTGGAATCAATAAACAAAAAGTTCAAAAAAAATAAAAAAATTGGAGTCAATCAACCTTAATCGACTGCCAGAGCATAGTCGATTAGCTTAATCGACTATGAACATGTACATAGTCGATTAAGGTTTCAGCATGCGCGAAATTCTCTACCGGTGCCGTCCTCCGCCCGATCCACCAAAAAACCTTAAATCTGCCTCCCTATCGTCATCATACCGCCGCCACGACACACCATCACCACCTTACTTTGACATTATGACGGTTTTTTTTATTACAAATAAATAAATAAAATCACAACTCGCACCACCAACCAAAGCAGAACCACCACCCATCAAAATCAGATTCCGGCGACAAATCGACAATCTTATCTCTATTCGCCTCCGATGTAGCATTCCTGGCATTCGAATTCAGAATTGCTAATTATCCCTATAAAAAAAGAAAAACAAAAGTTATCGATGAATCGGTATCGATCAATTAGCGCCTGCATGTGGCATGTGGGAATTCTTACTTTTACTAGAGGCCTATCTTGATTCTTGAACCTAGGAACCTTTTCAACACGGTCGGGATTGCTAGCTCACAGAAAACATGAACTTAATTCGTAGTTATTCTACTTTTCTTTTTCTTTTAATAAGAAAATACACATGCCACCCTTAAAGTAAATACAACAAGAAAGCAACCCACGCTCTAAAAGTTATTGTTTCCACTTTAAAGAAGAAAACCACTCATTGATAGTATTGTCTTAAAATATGCATGTTGTATTTACATGAATATTAATGAAGTGGCTAGTGATCAGGGCCAGCTCATTACACTTTCTACTTTTTTTAGGGATAATTACATTTTAGTCCCTCATACTGACATTATTTTCACTTTCAGTCCTTTATTTACCACATTGTTAACAAATACCATTCTACTATTAAAAACTTATGACGCATTTGGTCCCTCCGTCTGTTTGACCGTATGTAACTAACAGTAAGTACCCCTATATTATTTTAAACTGTTGTGTTATAAAAATTAGCAAAAATACCCAATTAAATACTTGAGACTGCATATTATTGGCCCCGTATCATTTTACCCGCTGACTGATAGTGCAAAGACATATATACCTCGGGGGTGTCTTTTGCAACTAGAAAAATATGTACTTTTGCAAGAACATGAACTTAGAGTAACAATTAATATTCTTAAAAGACAAAAAGAAAATAATGAATACTTATATTTTTAAATTTTAATACATGTACAATTATATCTATATTATTCCAACTAAACTAAAAATAAATGGGAATTGCTATTTGCGGTTTGGAAATTGCTATTTGCGGTTTATAAAAAAAACCCCCAAAAAATACTTTATCTCTCTAAAACCCCAAAACTTCCCAAAAAAATCCAAAAATCCCCCCAAAATGCGTAAAAGCCCAACTTGGGTGCCCATTCATGCAGTGCACGCCCAAGTTGGGCGTGCAAGCTGCATTTGGGTGCCCGAGTTGGGCGTCCAGTGCAATTCTTTTTTTTTTTTTTTCTTGTTTTTTTTTTTTTAATTGAACGCCCAAGATGGGCGCCCATCTTGGGCGTTCGAACATTTTTTTGCGAAAAAAAAAGCGCTACAAATCTATTTGTAGGGCTTTTTAAGATGAAATTGGTTCCGTAATCGACCTACCCAATGCATATTACACATAAAAGAGTCGAAATTACATCAAAAAATCGAAGCCCAACCCTTCTTCGAGATTGATTTCGAATTTTTGATTTTTTTTTTTGCTATTTTCAATTTTGGTGGGTTTTTTTGGATATTTTTAAAAGTTTTGCGGGGTTTTGTTATAAACCGCAAATAGCAATTTTGTGACCGTAAATAGCATTTCATAAATAAATTCATATAAACTTTGATAATTTTTTCCTTTCAAAATTGAGTAAATTGGCACTTTTTATGCGGAGGCATGCATACAAAATTAAAATTATTAGGGTAAATAGCACTTCTTCCCCTTATGGTTACATGCTTTTGCATATGACTCCCTTGTCCTTGTAATATTAGCACATAACCAACCCCCTTGTGGTTGATGGGATAGCTTCCATTAGTTTTTTCGTCAAACTTAACCGCCTGTGCAAACGTCAAAGTATTGTTTTTGGAGATGCCCCTTGTGTCTTCATTATCCCTTTCATTTTTTCAGATGACCCCCTTGAAGTTTGACGGAAAAACTAACCCGATAAACCACAATAGGGGGTTATGTGCTGATATTACGAGCACAAGAGAGTCATCTGCAAAAGTTTGTACCCAGAGGAGGTTAAGTGGTATTTACCCAAATTATTAAAATCAAACCGAATCTTTAATTTATTTATTATATATCTAAAATCGAATTTTATTTAAGCTAAAATATAAAAAACAGTAATCCCCCAAAAGTTTGCAAATTGGACCCAACAAAAAAATTAATTAGAAAAGGCATCCTTAGAAAGAAGAAAACTCAATTTCAGCCCTAATTCATCCGTTGGTTGTAAGTTGTTGACGGTCAAACAAAAGGAGGGATGAAATTTGTCATAAGTCGGTGATCGGAGTGTTTTTATACCCGGTGAAGGTAATATCAAGTGAGTTTTTACGGTTGATCTAATGTGGGTGTGTGTTTTTGTGTATATAAATGGTAAAGATCTTTTCGGAGTATTTCGTCCGGTGTACCACGGTATAAACTGTAATTTCACTTATATTTTTTTATGAGCGTAGTGTAATTTGTTTATTTGTGGGAAGATTATATTGACGTCGATATCTGTGGTTTCATTCTTTTCTAATGTAAAACACCACTTGCAGGGGCGGATCCGGACCAAAATGTGTTCCGGCGGACGTACATATAGAGGTAAATTCAATTTTTCGGGGGTTCGGGGGCAAAAAGCACACATTAGTTTTCAATGTGTCTCACAGTTTTCGGGGGTTCGGGGGCAAAATTTGTCTCAATGTGACCCTCGCCGTTAGTTTTCACACCTTTGACCTTAACACCGTTTGATCTAGGTCTGAAAATTACAAAAAAAACCACCCCTCACAGTTTAAATAATTATTAAAAAAAAAAAAAGTAAATTGTGGCTGTCGTCGTTGACTGTGCTATCCCGTTGTCTTGAATTATTAATTATTTATATTTTGTGTTTTAACTTTTTTTCTTGTTTTTGTAATAATTATTTAAACTGTGAGGGTTGGCGTTTTTGTAAATTCAGAACTGAGACTAAATGGTGTTAAGGTCAAATGGCTGCAACTAACAACGAGGGCCACATTGAGACAAATTTCCAAGTGTAGGGGGCAAATCGATGCAATCGAGAGTAGAAGGGGGTAAAGTGATACCGAACAAAGGTACATAGGGGGGAAAGTGGAATTTACCCTAAATATCATGTCAAAAAGTAATTAAAAAAAATTGATTTTTTTATGTTGGAGGGGCGGGTTACCAGTTGCATGAATAAGAAAAATGAAATTAAAATCCCCTGAAATTTCTCTTATTAATACTTGTTCTACATTTAGATACAACAACGATCAAGAAAAGAAAAAAAATTGAACTGACAAAATGGCCGCCTTATCACCAGTTCCTTCCATGGAAGATCTTAAGGTCATGTTCCAAGAAAGCTCTCTTATCTTCCCATACAAAGAAACACCGAAAAAATCGATTTTCTTGTCCAACATGGATCAAATCTTGAACTACGATATCCCGACTGCCCATTTTTTCGGGCCAAACCCAGATTTCCCGCCTGAAACAGTGGCCGAGAGGCTCCGAACTGCACTCGAGAAGGTGCTCGTGCCGTACGATTTTATGGCGGGAAGATTGAAACAAAACCGGGAATTGGGCCGGCTGGAGATAAACTGCAACGCGGCGGGGGCTGGCTTTGTGGTGGCCAAGTCCGATGTTTCTCTTGATGAGATTGGTAATGAGAACCTCGTTTGCCCGAACCTCGGATATCGACAGCTGGCTGTCCAGAGATTGGATAGCTTGCCACCTGAAGTTGACCAGCCACTCTGTGTTTTTCAGGTATAGAATTTGAGTAGATTGCAAAAAATACCCATGAATTAAAAAAAGAAAACACATATAATTTGAGTATAGAATTTTCATGCATTTTCTATGAATATGAAGAGAAAAAAAATTGTGTGTGTATATATGTGTGTTCCTACTTCACACACGTGTTATATAAATTTGTAATATAATAGTTGGAAATTCATCACTCAAGTTTACACTAGTTTTATATTTGGTCTCCTATGTTCATAAAAAAAACATATTTGTACTCCTCGTGTTTCAATAATTTGACACTTTTGGTAATTTCAGTCAATTTACCCTTCGTTTACAGTAGTGATGAACACAAGTTTGATTCCGTTAGTTTTAACAGAAAAATGACGGAAATGACTAAAAATGTTAATTTTTTTAAATATGAGGGACCAAATGTGTTTTTTTTGTGAATATGAAGGGCCAAAAATGAAATTAAATTGATGCAAATTTGAGGGATGAAAACTGTATATTTTCTTATATTAGTTGAATCTTATAGTTCAAGCACTATTTGCAGGTAACATCATTCAAGTGTGGTGGTTTTGCAATCGGCATGTCTACGAATCACATCTTATTCGACGGCCTAGGCGCCAAGGTATTCCTCCTAAACCTAGCTTCCCAATCTTTCGAAAACAAACCCTTAGCCATCATACCCTACAACGACCGTCGGATTCTTGCCGCTAGATCTCCACCGCAGGTTTCCTTCCCACACCCAGAGTTCCTCAAATTCGACCTCCCTGTGGGCCCGGGTTCAACTCCCCCAAAGTTCGATTGCATCATAGAAGAACTCGATTTCAAAATCTTCAAACTCACCACAACTCAGATATCCCACTTAAAGGACAATATTACTAAGACCTCCAAAATTCACAGAATTAGCACCTTTGCGGTGGTGGCCGCCCTCATTTGGCGGTGCAAAGCCTTTTCCGATGATAAAAATAGGGTTTCGACTTTGCTCAATGTTATCGACATTAGGCCAAGGGTGAACCCCCAATTGCCATCTTCGTACTCGGCCAATGCAGTGCTTCCCTTGGGAGTTTCGGAAACTTGTGAAGAGATACAAAATGGGGCGTTTTCGAAGCTTGTGGAGATTATCACTGAAGGGGCTAAAGAGATGACGCACGAGTACGTGAAATCGGCTTTCGATTGGTTGGAGTTGAATAGAGGGATTCCGCATGGGGATTATATGGTGAGCTCATGGCTTAGATTAGGGTTTGATGAGGTGGAGTATGCATGGGGGAAGCCGATGTACAGTTGTCCGGTGGTGAATCATCGGAAAGATATTTGTTGGGTTTTTCGAGATGCCGTTGATGGTGGTGTTTCTGCAATGGTGGCTTTGCCTTCTCAAGAGATGAACATATTTGAGGCTGTTTTTCATGACTTCTTTGCTTCAATATAATATTTGTTTGAGTTTGGAAATTCTTCAATAATGAATAATTTGATGTGTGCATGCAAATATGTAATATTGTTCTTCGTGTGGTTTATTGTTGTGCGTTTAATTGGTTTTGATTGTTCATCTAAAGTGCTTTATTGCCCATTTTATATATTATTTTTGATGAGCGAGAGTTGTTTTTATTAATTTTTAGTTGATTTTAATAAGTTGTTGATTTAACAAATAATTGATGTTGATAAATGAGAGTTTGTTGGAGATATATAGTTGTTCTAATCATAATTGTTTTAATAACAATTGTTTTTAATAATAGTTGTTTTATTGAAATATAGTTGTTTTAACTGAAGATAAAAAAATATAGTAAAAGGTATTGTTAAAAAATATAATAAAAAGTTAAAAACATTTTAAATATTACTCACTCTAAAGATGGTCTTTACATTACTCAGGCCAAATATGCATCTGACCTCTTATCTCAAGCCGGACTCACTGATAGCAAGATCATTTACACTCCAGTTGAACTCAATACTCACTTGACTCCATCAGGGGGACACTGTTGTCGAACCCGTCACTTTACAGGCGTTTGGTGGGCAGTCTAGTCTATCTTACTGTCACTCGTCCTTATATCTCATATGTGGTTCATCAAGTGAGTCAATATCTATCTGCTCCAAGATCGCTTCACTATGCTGCTGTTCTACGCGTCCTTCGATATCTAAAGGGTACTCTTTTTCATGGTCTTTTCTACTCTACTGAGTCACCTCTAGTTCTTCGAGCATTCTTCGAGCATTCTCCGATATTGATTGGGCTGGAGATCCCACTGATCGCACTGGTTATTGTTTTATTATTGGTACAGCTCTAATATCTTGGAGAAGTAAGAAACAAACATTTGTTGCCCGATCCAGCACTGAAGCAGAATACCGTGCTCTTGCGGATACCACATATGTGCTCCTTTGGCTTCGATGACTTATCAAGGACTTAGGAGTATCAACATCCTCTCCCATTCCTCTTCATTGTGACAATCAAAGTGCTATCCATATTAGTCACAATGATGTCTTTCATGAACGGACTAAACACATTGAGATAGACTGTCATTTTATCCGTTCACACATTACTCAAGGTATTCTCAAGCTCTTCTCGGTTTCTTCCAAAGATCAACTTGCAGATATCTTCACAAAGCCTCATCCTAAGGGACGTCATCGTGATTTGGTCTACAACCTCAAGTTTGTTTGTCACCCTCCTTGAGTTTGAGGGGGGCTGTTAATGTATATTCTTAGAAAATAAGTTAGGGATTTGATTTGATACTTTACATAAGTTAGGAGATTTGATTACATTGTAATTAGTTAATTCCTTGTATAGCTTTCTCTCTATATGTGTAAATAGTGGCTCCTATGGAGAAGAATACACATCAAATTTTCCTCAATTCTAATAACAATATGGCAAATTAAAGTGGAAATGCCTACCAAGCAGTGGAGCCATAGTTTAGTGTCTACACATGCGAGCAAAAATAAGCAATTTTCGATTAATTTCAGGGTTTAGCAATAAAAATAACTAAAAAAAAATAATAATGAGTTATTTTGGATTAAGGCGTCGAATACACATTCCTTCACGTATGGTATTTCGATTTGATTCATCGACACAGTTCAATGTCTTTGCTAAGAAATATCTCGGGAAGACGAAATTGAATTAAAGAGTCGGCTGCTCAAAAACTAAACTATAAGATCACAAATGTATTAGCCCAACTATAATGAGAATGCAAGGGTCTGATGTCACACGCGTCCGACGTAGTAGGATTCATGCGCCGAGTAAGAATCTACGTACGTGTCGACTACAACACGCCGAGTTAAAAATCACGTGCCAATCGACAAAACAATAGTGGAGACAGACTTGCGTGGTGTCCATGCAATTGCCTTATGATGCCCAAATCTTACGTTTATGAATTCAAATAGTAAAAAATCTCTTAGGCTACGTTTAGATTGATGGCTTTGAAATGAATGGATTTGTAAATAAGTCTAAATAGGAAGGATTTGAAATAACTCCGATCCAAACGGGAATTGATTTGAAGTTCCAAACAACTGAAAATGAAAGCTATGGAATTGAAATTCTTTGTCAAATGACTCCATCCAAACGCGCCCAATGAATTTGTTATATAGATTTGAAATTCTTCCCTCAAATCCCTTCATTCAGATGGAGCCTTAGAATTAATGCACAAATTACACTTATCAGAATAGTTAAGGAATTCACATGCATACCGGAGCATGTATCATTTTTTTTGGAAAAATTACCCTTCTCATCCCTTAAGTCTGCACTAATTTCACATTTGGTTCTCATGTTCACAAAAAATACATTTGGTCCCTCATATTTCAATAATGTAACATTTTTGGTGATTTTCGTCAATTTATCGTTAGTTCATCAGTTGAGGCAATGACGGCCACACACTTGATTTCGTTAGTACTAACAAAAAATTTACGGAAAAAACTAAAAATGTTGAATCTTTAAAACACGAGGGACCAATTGTGAGTTTTTTGAATATAAAGAACTAAATGTGAAATCATTGCAAAATTGAGGGACGAAAAACTGTATTTTCCCCTTTAACCGGCTTTAGATAAGCCTTATGGATTAACCCTTTCTTATGAGGGGTTTTTGTGCATAGATCCCTTACCAAGCATCTTTATTATTCTCGGTTTAGGGGCTATATATCTTTCACCAATAAGCCCATCCCTTTAATATTTGTTATAAAGAAATGAAACATTCATGTATATGACAAAATTACCCCCAACCCTTTATACCCAATTCTTAATTGTAACCCCAATTTAATCAATTTTGACCATAAAAATCCAATTTTGAATTTTTTTTTTCAAAAAAATTTTTTAGCCGTCGGATTCTGGCGTTCACATTTCGATTTTTTTTTCTCGTCTGTTTTTTCCGCCGCCGGATTCTGGCGTTGACATTTTTTTTTTTTTTACGTCCGCCGTTAAACGTTGACCGTAATTGTGCTGTCACTAACAGTAAATTAATGTAATTATACTGTCAATGACAGTACATTAACGTAATTGTACTGTGGTTGACGATACATTAATGTAATTGTTCTGCTGTTGACGATACATTAATGTAATTGTTTTGCCGTTGACAATACATTTATGTAATTGTTCTGCCGTTGTCAGTAAATTAACGTAATATTATTATATATATTTTTTAATTTTGTTTTATTTGTTGACAAGTCAACGTAATTATATTACTTTCATTGATAGTAAAATAACTGTAAACACGATAATATTACTTTCAACCACATTAATATTATTATTTTTTTGGGTTTTTTGTTTTGTTTGAGTTACGGAGTAACGTAATAATATTATTGTCTATTATTGTAATATTACTGTAAACACAATAATATTACTGTGGTTGACGATAATATTACTGTTCTTACAGTAATATTGATGTCAACCACATCAATATTATTATTTTATTTGGGTTTTTTTTTGTTTGATTGAGTTATTCACGGAGTAACGTGATAATATTACTACTATTGTAATATTATTGTGGTTGACGGTAATATTATTGTTGTTATAGTAGTATTACTGTCACTAATATTAATTGTTTTTGTTTTTTATTATGTTTACATTTGTTGAAAGGTCAACATAGTAATATTACTCTATTACACAATAATAATGAGCTTTGTTGTATTAATATTGTTGTGCTAGAGATTAATATAATAATATTACTGTGTTAAACTATAGTATAGTTAATTTTAATGTGTTTAACAGCAATATAGTACTTAATATTAATGTCAATCACAATAATATTGCTGTTCAAACGAAAAAAAAAATATGTTGGCGGTCAACGCCGGAAATCGGTGGCGGAAAAATCAGGAGGAAGAAAAAAAATAAAAAAGTCAACGCCGGAGACCGGCGCTCAACGGCTGTGACCGACAAAATTGTCCATAAAAATATGATTTGGGTCAAAATTGAATAATTTGTAAAATTTGGGGTCAAATTGAAGTTAAATTAAATTAAAGAATGAAATTGGAGCATATTAAAGTATGAGGGCCTATTTTAGTCTATTACAAAAATCTGGACTATGTGTGGACTTTTTTGTAAAGGAGTTTATTGTCTGGATCTCATTATAAATAAGTACCCATTGATGTGCTTATTTGTAAAGACGCCTTCTTATAATACAATTAATCCCGAATAATGGGCCTAACAATTATGTTTGACACTTGCTCGAAAAAAAAAAATTATAATAAAAAAGTCAACGCCGGAGACCGGCGCTCAACGGCTGTGACGGACAAAATTGTCCATAAAAATATGATTTGGGTCAAAATTGAATAATTTGTAAAATTTGGGGTCAAATTGAAGTTAAATTAAATTAAAGAATGAAATTGGAGCATATTAAAGTATGAGGGCCTATTTTAGTCTTTTACAAAAATCTGGACTATGTGTGGACTTTTTTGTAAAGGAGTTTATTGTCTGGATCTCATTATAAATAAGTACCCATTGATGTGCTTATTTGTAAAGACGCCTTCTTATAATACAATTAATCCCGAATAATGGGCCTAACAATTATGTTTGACACTTGCTCGAAAAAAAAAAATTATGTTTGACACATTATTTATGGATTTGTTCGATCCTACACCTGGTGATAAACACCGGGTGTGTTTTCTGCTGCCACGTGTCTCTTTTTTGTATTTTATAATACTAGTAATCGTGCCCGTGCGTTGCACGGGATCGCATTCAAAAAGAAAAGAAAGTATTTGTTTTTAATATATGATAATACATACATATATATATATATATATATATATATATATATATATATATATATATATATATATATATATATATATATATATATATATATATATATATATATATATATATATATATATATATATATATATATATATATATATATATATATATATATATATATATACACACACGGAGTTTTAATATATAAAACATATGTTAAATAGTAATTGTTTCTCATTTCAATACCATATAAATAAAAAATAGGTAATGATATTTAAACCCTTAATGAAAATCAATGCTACACACGCATAAAAAATATTATCTTTCTTTTTTTTAAATATAACACACAAAAATCCTCTCAGAGTCCTATGTTTTTTTTCTCACAAATCATCTCTCACACTCATGTTTCTTCATCTTCTT